CAGCACGACAACGCTCCCGTGCCATCGCACTTCCATCGTCCAGGACACCATCAAAACGCTGAAATGGGATCTGCTACCGCACCCGCTGTATTCACCAGACCTGGGCCCCTTCCCGATTATCACTTGTTCCGGTCGATGGCGCATGGCTTGGCTGGGGCTACACTTGGCCAATTTCGAAGAAGTGCAGAATTGGTTGGATGAATGGTTTCGATTCAAAGACGCGTCGTTTTATCGTCGCGGTATTCATGTATTGCCAGAGAGATGGCAAAAATGTGTAGCTAGCGAGGGACGATATTTTGAATAAACCGTTTTTTGTATTTCTCTTGAAATTTTCCATTTTGCATTGATAAAAAACCCGGAAACTTAGTTGCGCACCTAGTACATATCAATTCATAGGAAAACCTCAATATTGTTATGTTTTAAAAAATTTTATACTTTCGAATGGATTTAAAATATTTTGCATTGTTAAGGTATATAGAGTATTATTATTTGCATATTTTCATGCATTCTTCATAAGTCATAAAACTATTATTATTTCCTCCGCAACCTCCATACGCGAAAAAATGACAATCTTCCGTATCTGTCGAAAACCAATATCTCCTTTGAATTATGAACTGAGGATTCTTAATATTCTTAATGCAAGGACCAGGGTCATACCTGAGATTACAAACTGTAAAAGAGAAATACATTGTGTAAAAACTTAAATCATAACACATGCAGTAAATTATAAAAAAATACATATCAAATTATGTACAACAAGATATTTATTCTATCAATTAATTATTGCGAAAAAATCCAATTGGCAACTTCAAATTGTTACAATTTATAGCAATTTGTGGTAAGTAAATATATGCATTAAATATATATTAACAATTTGAGTTGTCTAAATAATATTAAAAGTATTATAATTGAGTAATAAATCATATAATAAAAGATTACTGTGCGTGTTCAATGTAAAAGAAATGCAACTCTTACATTCAGGTTTCTTTGATGGACATGGGTACCCCATGCTAAACATGCTAAAGACAACAAGTATGAATAACAAGTTTATTTTGAAATTCATCGTCTCGTGTGTTCTTTTGATTAAATTTCTATCAATTACGATGAATATAATCTCTCCTTCTCTGAAAATCTTATTATCAATAATTACTATACGTACTGATCTGAAATTATAAATTATGAATTAATTTGGAGAATATAAATTAATTTTGATAACATCAAATATAAAAAAAAATAAATGTGTTCGAATAAGTAAATTGTAAAATCTAATCTATGTACATAAATTTATATTATTTGTTTTAATAAATAACATAATTTATCAGTTATTAGTAATAAATATAAATTGTAAAATTAGCATATTTTTATTTATCACATGCATACATATAGCAAAAAAGGTATATACATAGCTCTGTATGGACATGTGGCTAACATTATAAAATATTAACGATTATTCCTTCGATACGTTTAATATGCAAAAAAGTGCCGCAAAGTTGATTGTGTCTATTAATCTAATTCGCTCGAATGGAATTCGCACGTTCCGCACTATTTGATCTCGTTACAATTAAAATATCAGCCAAACGTAGTGTGAACAAATTTTGCGTTATAGTTACGATGCATGTATGAATATTAAACACAGCACTTTGACAAAAAAAAATCGTTAATGTAAGATTTGCTTATAAAAGAGCAAAACTTAAATTATTCATAATAAATCCAACCTTGCTGGACGTAATACATGTTAAAGTAAATTCTCTCGATATCATTTATTTATTTTCCTCAAAAATGCATATAACAAAAAAATAACAAAACAAGAATCGTTTAAATAATTTCAACTCTAATTAAATAGTAAAAGTAAATTTAATATTATAATAAAATTGATTATACGTCACTTACCAAGTCCTGATAGATTTCTTTTCCTAAGAAGAATTCAGTTAGATATGATTAAATTCCTCGCCTAATTATACATGCCTAAGTATAAATCACGAGTTTGAGAGACATCTGTTACTGTGGCCGGCCAAAAGACAGTACCATGAAAGATCGCGATCGATCCTTCGTTTATTCCGAAATCCCCTTTCTGTAATCCTAGAGTCTGCGCATTATCTGCTAATAACAAGACAGATAAATTGCGAACATCATCGTTGTAGTATACCGTGCTTAGCACGGCGTGCTATAAGGCTTCCAAACGACGCCTCCCGCTTAGCACAAGACATTTTAAGGATATATCCCGACGTTCTGAGAATTACCTCAGGACATCTTAAGGATATCCAGGATGTTTTGTGCTTCATGGAAAATTGCCCTATTGGAAATCTCACGGCGTTTGCAATAAATATTGCTACAATGACAAACTGAACTGTATACTCGTTATAAAGTACGTGTATTATTTAAAATTTCAATAATATCGCAGTAATACCAGTGCCGGATTTGAAGGTGGGCGGACAGGGCAACCGCCCAGGGGCCCCCCACAAACAAAACTTGATTAAAATAAAAATTTGATTAAAAAATTTATATATTTATATTTGATATATGTTTTCTAAATGTATCAAATATTTCTTAAATATATGCCATTGGTTTCCGGGTGATGACCGCGATGTGCATTTTGGATGCTAGAGTTTCGCAAACATTGTAGTTTGCGTCATTAAATTTATCTTAAATATTTGTTGTAATAATATTAAAATATGTATTTTCAACTTTTTTAAATTTACGAACTTTTAAATAAGTTTTCAATAATTTTGATTTTTTACGAATTAAGGGTCCTACTGCCCCGGGGTCCCCACTTTTTTAAATCTGGCGCTGAGTAATACTATATATTTTGTAATATTTTTTTTTTGAATAAAATGCTTTGCAAATTCCTAAACAGATATCACTTGTTTTATTTATATACAATATTATTTTAATATTTAAGATTATAAAACTTTAAGACTGAACTTTATAGTTACCTCTTAACAAATTGAGACTATATTTTGCAGAACTTTTGCATCTTATTTCGTCTATAAATTATGGAACGATCTGTCCAGTTCATGCAGAAAAAGATAGAAAAAATATAATGTTTTAAAATTACATAGATATCCCAAGAAACTGATTATTCTTAATTATTCTTAAATAAAAATACATGTTCTGATGTTATTAAATTATTGTATATACAGTAGAATTGTAGTATCGTATGTATTGTTAGTATTGTAGTATCGTATATTTAATATGTGGTAAAATAAACAATATAAAATAAATAATATAATAAAAAAAAGGAAAAAAAAGGCGAAAAAAATGTTCACTTTCTCTTAGACATATATTTCAACGGATTTAATTTTGTTATAGTCAATTCTTAGAAAAAGAAAATATTTGTATACATAAATATTTCACCCGAATTTCTTCTCTAATATAAGACATACAGTCTTACATTATCATTTAAATATTGCGTGGAGAATATCGAAAGATCAATTAAAAGCGACTTTTTGGTGTGTGTTTTAATAGAAATACTTTGATTCCCAACGCCAACTTAATACCGATATACGCAGTAGCGCGTTTACTTATCGGTTCCTAAGGCTTGAACCTCTGAGCGCCGCAGTTTCTATATATTCATAAAAAATGTTCCATTTTCAATTATCTCCTTGTTCTTAAGTGTGTTTCGGTAGAATTCAATTAATTTTCAAAATGTTAATTATTTACTGTTCTCATTGAGAGAGGGAGGTTAGACTGAGGCGCTCAAAAATCACAAGCTCCTGGGTGCAAATTTTACAAACGCGACCCTGAATATACGATTGACCGGAGTACATTTTATCGATATATTAAACATTTGATTAAACATTTGACATCATAAAAATGTAATTTATTTAACATCAAGTTATTATAACATTTATCTACTCATAAATAATAGATAACGTTAGGACATCCTGAAATAATAATTCTTCTTACTTAAAATTGTTTTCTAATTGCCCTACACATTTAAAAAAAAACACATCAACTTTTATACAATTTGATAAATATCTAAATATAAAAACAGGATACAACACTTCTGCATATTGCAATTCTATTGCTACGGTGTAATAATTTTGGTAATAATTTAGTACAAATACGGTAATTCCATATAAAATATGTTTTTTTAAACTAAAAAAATATTTCAATAAACACTCATTATGTTTCATTCAAATTATTATATGCCTTAGAGTTATTAAATTATTATATGTAGTATTAAATGCCAAATATCATAAAAAATATAAGAAATATTAAATTAAGGAGTACTTTATTTACATATATATTGCTACATATTTTATATACATATCCGTACATTTCATTTTATTACAGTCATTTTATTATAGTCATTTATTGTAAAAATAAAACACTTTTACAAGTATTTCAAATGATGTCACAGAGTCTTGCATTTAGTACTTCAATTTAAACTTAATATCAAACTCTTACAAATACATATCAATACATGGGAAAGCTTCAATGTTGTTATGTTTCAAAAAATTTTATATTTTGGAATAGATTTAAAATATTCGCCATTGTTAAAGTGTATAGAATATTACTCTATATGTGAATATTCACTGCATGTTTGAATACAGTCCTCATAAGTTACGAAATTATTTTTGTTTCCTCCGCAGCCCCCGTACGCGAAAAGTTCACAATCGTTCGATAATTTCGAAAAATAATATCTCCCATAAAGTTTGTAACTGCTGATAAGAAAATTCGAAAAGCAAGGACCACGGTTATACTTATAACCACAATCTGTGAAAAAGATATACATTATGCAAAAACTTAAATCATAACGCATTCACATTCAACTGTGAAAGATACATATCAATTATATACAATATTTATACTATCAATCTATCATTGATAACATTAATCATCATCTATCAATCTATCACTGGTAAGATTAAACTGACTACTTCAAAATTTTGTAGTTTATGGCAATTTATGATAACTAAATATATATATATAATAATTATTAACAATTTAAATCTTCTAGATAATATAAAAACTATAATAATAAAAGGTAAAATAAAAAAGATTACTGTGCGTGTTCAACGTAAAAAAAATAGATCACTTACATATAAATGGCAAATTAGAAAACGAAGAGTATTCTGAACTAGATAGATATCCCATGCTAAACATGTTAAAGACGACAATTATGAATAACAAGTTTATTTTGAAAGCCATCGTCTCGAAAGTCTCGTGTGTTCCTTTGATTGAATTTCTAACAGGTACGATCAATAAAATATCTCCTTTTCTAAAAATTTTATTATGAATAATGACTATACGTACTGATCTGTAATTATAAATTGTAAATTTATTTTGAAATTATAAATTAATTTTAATAACATTAAATATAAAAAAAAGATTAATGTTCGAACAAGTAAATTATAAAATCTAATCTCTAATTTGTGTATATAAATTTATATTATTTTTGTTTTAATAGATAACTTATTAATTAGTTACTTGTAATAAGTTTAAATTGTAAAATTAGCATTTTTTATTATTCATCACATGCATACATATAGCAAAAAAGAATATAACTCTATAGAAAAAATGGGAATTGCAATGTAAAATATTAATGATTATTCTTTAGATACTACGTTTACTGCGATACTCGTTTACTACCCCAAAAAATGCCGAAAATTTGTTTTCTTATTTGCTTGACTGGAATTCGCACGTTTCACATTATTTGATCTCTTACAATTAAAACATAAATTAAACTAATAGTGTAAACAATTTTTGCGTTACAGTTACGTGTATGAAAATTAAACACAGCATTTTGATGAAAGAAATTGTTAATGCACAAGACTTGCTTTATATAAAAATAAAATTTATTACCAATATTAAATTCAACCTTCCTAAATGTAATATATGTTAAAATAGATCCTCTCGATATCTATTTTACTTTTCACAAAAAAGTATATAAAATAGAAAGTTAAAAAAAAATGACAAAACAAAAATAGTTTAAATAATTTCAATTCTAATTAAATGGTAAATGTAAATTTAATGTTATAATAAAATTGATTATAGGTCACTTACCAAGATTTGATAGATTTCTTTTCCAAAGAAGAATTGAGATCGATATGGTTGAATTCCTCGCCCAATAGTACGTGCCTCAGTAAATTGCGAGTTCCAGAGACGTCTGTTACCGTGGCCGGTCAAAAGACAACAGCATCGAGGAGAATCACGATCGATCCTTCGTTGATTCCGAAATCCCTCTTCTGTAAACAGAGTCTGCGCATTGACTGCTAATAACGTGGCTGATAAATTGCAAACATCATCGTTGTCAGCTAACGTGCGGTAAAGCTTCGAAAAAAGATCTATTGAAAATTTCACGACGCTGGCAATAAATATTTGCTACAATCATCTGAACCGTACACTCATCATAAAGTACGTGTAATATTTAAAATTTAAATAATATCGCAGTAAAATTATAGATTTTGTATTATTTTATTTTTTAATAAAATGCTTTGCAAATCCATAAACATATCACTTATTTTATTTATATTGTTTTAACTTTAAGATTGAACCTTATAGTTTGCTTGCAACCAATTGAGATTATATTTCACAGAGTTTAGTCTGCAAATTATAGAACGCTAACAATTAATATATGTAAAAAATAAATAAAATGTATATAATATTTGTATATAATAATTTAAAATTAGAAAGATATTCCAAAAAACATTGTTTATGCTTAATTACACTTTCATGTTATGATGTTATTTAATTATTGTCTGTAGTATTATACAATATATGCTTTATGTGATAAAATAATCAATATATAATAAAAAAGAGCAATAAAAATGAAAAAAATTTTTATTGTCTGTCATACATATGTTTCGACAGATTTAATTTTACTGTTAATTAATTTTCTGTTAATTAATTCACTGTTAATATTTATAAAATTAAAGAATTTATATGAATATCTGTTCAGAATATTATACAGACTTACATTTCCATTTAAAAACCGCGTAAAGTTGTATATTTTAGTAAACTTTCCGGTATTAACATTGTTAAATTTGTTAGCATTCTTTTACAATCTCCTACACAAAATTCTACATTTATTTTTTACTTTATCGTAGTAATATTGCGCTTGAAAATAAGTGCAAGAACTTACGTTACAATCATAATTGCACCACCAAGCTGTAAAAACGATACATTTTAAATTAAGTCTAATAAAATCGCACCAGAAAAACAATATTTATTAATTTTCATAAATAAAAACTCACCATTTTCAAGTAAATAGATTAAAAATTTTTTAACTTTATTTGCTATTTTTGAGTATATAAATATTTTGTAGTAGCTTGATGTTAAATAAATCACATTTTTATGATTTCAAATGTTCTGTGTCAATGTATGCTTGTATGTACTCAAATGTACTGTGGTCGATCGTACATCAATAATAAATAGCAGTTAAAAAGATGAAGTAATTATACTGAAACATACGCAAAAAATCGCTTTTTAATTGCTTCTGTGATCCGTAATTGCTCTATTCAATTAATTAATATTAAGAACACTATTACACGAAAAATGTTAAAACTGTTTACTTAGCAGTCCTATTTACACTTATTTTCTTTAAAATCCTTGCAGAAAATTTGACCGTCAAAATTAAAAGTTTAACAAATAAATAGAAAATAAAAAGAGCAATTTAAAAGCTATTTTTTGGCGTATGTTTAATATAATTACTTTTATCCCCAGCGGCAACTTATTACTGATGTACGATCGAACAAAGTACGTTTGATCGATATATTCGCACTGAACATTTGACATAATAGAAATGTGATTTATTTATCATCAAGTTATTACAATATTTATCTACTCATAAATGATAAAGTGATAAAATAAAGTTTAGAAATTATAATTCTACTTATTTGAAGTTGTTTCCCATAATTGCCTTACATATTTAAAAAGCACATATAACTTTATACAAATTGTTAAATATTTAAATGTAAATAAGGAACAAAATTATTTTTGTTGCGTAATAAGTGTAATAAGTTTGATAATAATTACGATAATAATTAAGTACAATTACGATATTTCCATATAAAATAATATTTTTAAACTAAATAATATTTTATTAAATACTGATTAAGTTTTATACAAATTATTATATGCCTTAATGTTATTAAATTTTTATATGTATTATTAAAAAAGTGCCCAATATAATGATAAATATAAAAAATAATAACATGAGAAGAACTTTCTTTTATTTACATATATATTCCTACATATTTCATATACATATCTGTACATTTCATTTTATTACAGTCAATTATTGTAAAAATTAACACTTTTACAAGTATTTTATAAAGACTTCACAAGGTCTTTCATTTAGTGCTTCAACTTAAACTCAATATCAAACTGTTACAAATACATATCAATACATGGGAAAGTCTCAATAATGTTATGTTTTAAAGAATTTTATAATCTCGAGTGGATTTAAAATATTTTTCACTGATAAGGTATATAGAGTATTATTTTCTTTTGCATGTTTTTTTGCAATTCAGATAAGTTAAAAAATTATTCTGATTTCCGCCGCAGCCCCCGTATTTGAAAGGAAAACAAAGGTTCGATTTTATCGAATAAAAAAATCTAATTTGATACGTTTCATTCGTTGTCATTTCATCCGTGAGACAAGGACCAGAGTCATAAAAACTGTAACAATCTGTAAAACATATATACATTGTGCCAGAACTTAAATCATAACGGATTCATTCAACTATAAAAAATTCATATCAATTTATGTACAATATCTATTCTATTAATCTATCATTGATAAGGTCAATCATCGTGAAATTCATCATCTATCAATCTATCATTGGTAAAATAATACAGAAAATTTCTGCAGTTTATAGAAATTTATGATAACTAAATATATGTATTAAATAATTTTTAACAATTTAAGATGTTTAAATAATATAAAAACTATAATAATAGCAAGTATAATGATAGATTAATGTGCGTGTTCAATATAAAAGAAATACATCACTTACATGCAGGTCGCTCATCAGTAGGCGAAGGTGATTTTGAACTAGATAAATATCCCAAGCTAAATATGTTAAAGACGACAAGTATGAATAACAAGTTTATTTTGAAAGTCATCGTTTCGTGTGTTCTTTTGATTGAATTTTTAGCAGTTACGTTCAATAAAAATTATCTCCTTCTCTGAAAATTTTATTATGAATAATTATTATACGTACTAATCTAAAATTAAAATTTTATTTTGATAACACAAATATAAAAAAAAAATTAATGTTCGAACAAGTGAATTATAAAATCTGATCTAATTTGTGTATATGAATTTATAATATTTTTGTTTTAATAATTATCATAATTTATTAACGTTTACTACGATACTTGTTTACTACGCAAAAAGGTGCTGAAAATTTGTGCTGCTAATCTTATTCACTCGAATGGAATTTGCACAATTCACATTATTTAGTCTGTACGATTAGTCGGTACGATTTAAACATAAACTAATTATAGTGTGAACAATTTTCGCGTTATAGTTGCGTGTATGAGTATTAAACACAGAACTTTGTCGAAAGAAATTGTTAATGCATAAGATTTGCTTTACATAAGAACAAAATTTGTTATGTATATTAAGTCCAACCTTGCTGGATGTAATATATGTTATATTAAATTTTCTTGATATTATTTGTTTTATTTTTTAAAATTGAATATAAAGAAAGTTATTAAAAAAATAAAGAAACAAAAATTGTTTAAATAATTTCAACTCTAATTAAATAATAAAAGTAAATTTAAAGTTGTGATAAAATTTATTGAAGGTTACTTACCAAAGTCTGATAGATTTCTTTTTCTAAGAAAAATCGAGTTCGAAATGTTTAAACTCCTCGCCTAATAGTACATGCTCAAGTAAATTGCGAGTTTAAGAGACGTCTGTTACTGTAGCCGGCCAAAACACAACAGCATCGAGCAGTATCACGATCGATCTTTCGTTGATACCGAAATCCTTCTTCTGTAAACAAAGTCTGCGCATTGTCAGCTAATAACGTGACTGATAAATTGCGATCATCATCGTTGTCAGCTACCGTGCGGTAAGACTTCGAGAGGAGATCTATTGAAAATTTCACGGCGCTAGCAATAAATATTTGTTACAATCATCTGAACCGTACATTCATCGTAAAGTACGTGTAACATTTAAAATTTAAATAATATCGTAGTAATATTATACATTTCGTATTATTTCATTTTTTAATAAAATGCTTTGCAAATCCATAAACAGATAACACTTATTTTATTTATATTGTTTTAATCTTAAAATTGAACTTTATAGTTTTCTTGCAATCAATTGCGACTATATTTCGCAGAGTTTAGTCTGCAAATCATAGGACGCTAACAATTAATATATGTAAAAAATAAATAAAATGTATATAATATTTGTATATAATACTTTAAAATTAGAAAGATATTCCAAAAAACATTGTTTATACTTAATTAAACTTCCATGTCATGATGTTATTTAATTATTGTACGTAGTATTATAAAATATATGCTCTATGTGATGAAATAATCAATATATAATAAAAAAGAGCAATAAAAATGAATAACATTTTCATTGTCTGTCATAAATATGTTTCGACGGATTTAATTTTACTGTTAATTAATTTTCTGTTAATTAATTCACTGTTAATATTTATAAAATTAAAGAATTTATATGAATATCTGTTCAGAATATTATACAGACTTACATTTCCATTTAAAAACCGCGTAAAGTTGTATATTTCAGTAAACTTTCCGGTATAAACATTATTAAATTTGTTAGCATTTTTTTACTATCTCCTACACAAAATTCTACATTTATTTTTTACTTTATCGTAGTAATATTGCGCTTGAAAATAAGTGCAAGAACTTACGTTACAATCATAATTGCACCACCAAGCTGTAAAAACGATACAATAAATGTCAAATTAAGTTTAATAAAATCGCACCAAATAAACAATATTTTTTAATTTTTATAAATAAAAACTCAACAATTTCAAGTAAGTAGATTAAAAATGTTTTAACTTTATTTGCTATATTCGAGTATATAAATATTGTTATAGCTTGATGTTAAATAAATCACATTTTTATTATGTTAAATTTTGAGTGTCAATATATAGATCAAATGTATACTGGTGGATCGTACATCAGTAATAAATTGCCGTTGAAGATAAAAGTAATAATATTGAAACATACACCAAAAAATCGTTTTTTAAATGCTTCTTTGATCCATAATTACTCTATTTAATTAATAATATTAATAACACTATTACACGAAAACTGTCCACTTAGCAGTCCTATTTACACTTATTATCTTTAAAATCTGTTCTTCCAGAAAAATTGGCCCTTAAAATAAAAAATTTAACATTGGGAATAAAAAAAGCAATTAAAAACGATTTGCTGGCATATGTTTTAATATAATTACTTTTATCCCCAGCGTCAACTTATTACTGATGTACGATCGACCAGAGTACGTTTGATCGATATATTGTCACTGAACATTTGACATAATAAAAATGTGATTTATTTAACATCAAGTTATTACAATATTTATCTACTCATAAATAACAAAGTAATAAAATAAAGTTAAATAGTTTCAATTCTTCTTATTTTAAATTGTTTCCCAATTGCCTTACATATTTAAAAAGCACATATAACTTTATACAATTTGTTAAATATCTAAATATAAGAAAAAAACAAAATACTTCTGTTGAGTATGAGTAATAATTTTGATAATAATTAAGTACAATTACGGCAATTCTATATAAGATGGTATTTCTTAAACCAAAATAATATTTCAGTAAACACTAATTATGTTTTATTTAAATTATTATATGCCTTAATGTTATTTAATTAATATATGTAGTATTCAATGCTCAATATCATAAAAAATGTAAGAAATATTAAATTAAAAAGTACTTTATTTACATATATATTTCTACATAATTCATATACATGCGTACATTTTATTATATTACAGTCAATTATTGAGAAAATAAAACACTTTTACAAGTATTTTATAATGACGTCACAGAGTCTTACATTTAGTACTTCTATTTAAACTTAATATCAAACTCTTACAAATACATATCAATACATGAGAAAGTCTTAATGTGGTTATGTTTTAAAAAATTGTATATTCTCGAATAGATTTCAAATAGTCTTCTTTGTAATAGTATATAGAGTTTAATTTATGCATGTATCAGTGCATTCTGTTAAACTTCTAAAATTATTTTTATTTCCGCCGCAGCCACCGTAGCCAAAAGGAATACATTTATTCTGAATTGTCGAAAAAAAATATCTCCATTCAAATATGTTTTTACTTATTATCTCATCCGTGAAACAAGGACCAGAGTCAGAAGAAATGTTACAATCTGTAAAAAAAATATACATTGTGCCAGAACTTAAATCATAACGCATGCATTATCATCTATAAATCTGTTATTAGTGAAATTAAACTGACAACTTCAAATTTTTGTAGTTTATGGCAATTAAAGTAACTAAATATATGCAATAAAAAAGTATTAACAATTTGTGTTTTCTAAATAAAACCAAAACTATTATATTAGCAAGTATAATGAAAGATTAATGTGCGTGTTCAATAGAAAAGAAATAGATCACTTACATGCAGGTCGCTCATCAGTAAGCGAAGGACTAGATAGATATCCCAAGTTAAATATGTTAAAGACGACAAGTATGAATAACAAGTTCAGTTTGAAAGTCATCGTCTCGTGTGTTCTTTTGATTGAATTTCAAGCAGTTACGATCAATAAATTATCTTTTTTTCTGAAAATTTTATTATAAATAATTACTATATGTGCTAATCTAAAATTATAAATTATAAATTAACTTAGAAATTATAAATTAATTTTGATAACATTAAATATAAAAAAAAGATTAATGTTCAAACAAGTAAATTGTAAAATTTATAATCTAATTCGTGTATATAAGTTTATCTTATTTTTGTTTTAATAGATAACATAATTTATCAGTTACTTGTAATAAGTTTAAATTGTAAAATTAGTATTTTTTATTATTTATTACATGCATACAAAAAGCAAAAAAGGATTATAACTCTATATGGGAAATGAGAATTACAATGTAAAATATTAATGATTATTCTTTAGATACTATGATTATTACGATACTCGTTTACTACGCAAAAAGGTGCCGCAAATTTGTGTCCGTTAATTTTATTAGTTTGAATGGAATTCACACGTTTCACATTATCATGGTCTGGTACGATTTAAACATAAACTAATCATAGTGTGAATAATTTTCGCGTCATAGTTGCCTGTATGAGTATTCAACACAGTACTTTGACGAAAGAAATTGTTAGTGCATTGCTGATTTGCTTTATATAAAAATAAAATTTATTATCTATATTAAATCTAACTTTGCTGAATGTAATACATGTTAAAGTACATTTTTTCAATATCATCTATTTTACTTTGCACAAAGATTGATATAAAAAAAAGAGTTAAAGGAAAAATGACAAAACAAAATAGTTTAAATAATTTCAATTCTAATTAAATATTAAATGTAAATTTAATGTTAAAATAAAATTGATTATAGGTCACTTACCAAGATCTAATAGATTTCTTTTCCTAAGACGAATTGAGTTTGATATGGCTAAATTCTTCGCCTAATAATACATGCCTAAGTAAATTGCGAGTTTAAGAGACGTCTGTTACCGGGGCCGTCTAAAAGACAACAGCATCGAGAAGCATCACGATCCATCCTTCGTTGATTCCGAAATCCCTCTTCTGTAAACAGAGTCTGCGCATTGTCTGCTAATAACGTGGCTGATAAATTGCGAACATTATCGTTGTCGGCTATCGTGCGGTAAGACTTCAAATGGAGATCTATTGAAAATTTCACGGCGCTGGCAATAAATATTTGCTACAATCATAATCTGAACCGTAGACTTATCGTAAAGTACATGTTTATTATTTAAAATTACAATAATATCGCAGTAATATCATACATTTCGTATTATTTCATTTTTTAATAAAATGCTTTGCAAATCCATAAACAAATATCTCACTTATTTTACTTATATTGTTTTAACTTTAACATTAAACTTCATAGTTTGCTTGCAACCAATTAAGACTATATTTCGCAGAGTTTAGTCTGCAAATTATAGAACGCTAACAATTAATATATGTAAAAAATAGAAAGAATGTGTATATATTATTTGTATATAATACTTTGAAATTAGAAAGATATCTCAAGAAACATTGTTTATATTTAATTAAACTTCCATGTCATGATGTTATTTAATTATTGTACGTAGTATTATATAATATGTTTTATGTGATGAAACAATCAATATATAATAAAAAAGAGAAATAAAAATGAAACAAATGTTTATTGTCTGTCATACATATGTTTCGACGGAATTAATTTTACTGTTAATTAATTTTTTGTTTATTAATTCACTGTTAATATTTATAAAATTAAAGAATTTATATGAATATCTGTTCAGAATATTATACAAACTTACATTTTTATTTAAAAACTGCGTAAAGTTATATTTTTCTGTAACTTTTCCGGTATAAGACTGATTGAATTTGTGAGCATTCCTTCACAATCTCCTACTCAAAATTCTACAATTATTTTTTACTTTATCGCAATAATATTGCGCTTGAAAATAAATGCAAAAACCTACGTTACAATCATAATTGTATCACAAGCTGTAAAAACGATACATTTCAAATTAAGTCTAATAAAATCGCACCAAAAAAACAAAATTTATTAATTTTTATAAATAAAAACTCACCATTTTCAAGTAAATAGATTAAAAATTTTCTAACTTTATTTGCTATTTTTGAGTAGATAAATATTGTAGTAGCTTGATGTTAAATAAATTATATTTTTATGATCTCAAATGTTTTGTGTCAATATATGCTTGTATGTACTCAAATGTACTGTGGTCGATCGTACATCAATAATAAATGGCAGTTGGAAAATGAAGTAATTATACTGAAACATACGCAAAAAATCGCTTTTTAATTGCTTCTGTGATCCGTAATTGCTCTATTCAATTAATTAATATTAAGAACACTATTACACGAAAAATGTTAAAAACTGTTTACTTAGCAGTCCTATTTTACACTTATTTTCTTTAAAATCCTTGCAGAAAATTTGGCCGTCAAAATTAAAAGTTTAACAAATAAATAGAAAATAAAAAGAGCAATTTAAAAGCTATTTTTTGGCGTATGTTTAATATAATTACTTTTATCCCCAGCGGCAACTTATTACTGATGTACGATCGAACAAAGTACGTTTGATCGATATATTCGCACTGAACATTTGACATAATAGAAATGTGATTTATTTATCATCAAGTTATTACAATATTTATCTACTCATAAATGATAAAGTGATAAAATAAAGTTTAGAAATTATAATTCTACTTATTTGAAGTTGTTTCCCATAATTGCCTTACATATTTAAAAAGCACATATAACTTTATACAAATTGTTAAATATTTAAATGTAAATAAGGAACAAAATATTTTTGTTGCGTAATAAGTGTAATAAGCTTGATAATAATTACGATAATAATTAAGTACAATTACGATATTTCCATATAAAATAATATTTTTAAACTAAATAATATTTTATTAAATACTGATTAAGTTTTATACAAATTATTATATGCCTTAATGTTATTAAATTTTTATATGTATTATTAAAAAAGTGCCCAATATAATGAAAAATATAAAAAATAATAACTTGAGAAGAACTTTCTTTTATTTACATATATATTCCTACATACTTTATATACATATCTGTACATTTCATTTTATTACAGTCAATTATTGTAAAAATTAACACATTTACAAGTATTTTATAAAGACTTCACAAGGTCTTTTATTTAGTGCTTCAACTTAAACTCAATATCAAACTGTTACAAATACATATCAATACATGGGAAAGCCTCCATAATGTTATGTTTTGAAGAATTTTATAATCTCGAGTGGATTTAAAATATTCTTCACTGATAAGGTATATAGAGTATTATTCTTTTTTGCATGTTTTTGTGCAATTCCGATAAGTTGAAAAATTATTCTGATTTCCGCCGCAGCCCCCGTACTTGAAAGGAAAACAATCTTTCGATTTTATCGAATAAAAAAATCTAATTTCAAACGCATTATACATGTCCATTTCATCCGTGAGACAAGGACCAGAGTCATAAGAACTGTAACAATCTGTGAAACAGATATACATTGTATTAGAACTTAAATCATAACGCATGCATTACTAAAACTATAATAAATACATATCAATTTATGTACAATAAAATATCTATTCTATCGATCTATCATTGGTAAAACTTAACTGACAACTTCAAATTTTTGCAGTTTATGACAATTTAAGTAACAAAATATTTGCATTAAAAAAGTATTAACAATTTGAGTTTTCTAAATAATACGAAAACTAGTATATTAGCAATTATAATGAAAAATTAATGTGCGTGTTCAATATAAAAGAAATAGATCACTTACATGCAGGTCGCTCATCAGTAAGCGACGGTAATATTGGACTAGATAGATATCCCAAGTTAAATATGTTAAAGACGACAAGTATGAATAACAAGTTTATTTTGAAAGTCATCGTCTCGTGTGTTCTTTTGATTGAATTTTTAGCAGTTACGTTCAATAAATTATCTCCTTCTCTGAAAATTTTATTATGAATAATTATTATACGTACTAATCTGAAATTGAAATTTAATTTTAATAACATTAAATATAAAAAAAAGATTAATGTTCGGACAAGTAAATTATAAAATCTGATCTAATTTGTGTATATAAATTTATAATATTTTTGTTTCAATAATTATCATAATTTATTAACGTTTACTATGATACTTGTTTACTACGCAAAAAAGTGCCGAAAATTTGTGCTGCTAATCTTATTCACTCGAATGGAATTCGCACGTTTCACATTATTTGGTTTGGTACGATTTAAACATAAACTAATCATAGTGTGAACAATTTTCGCGTTATAGTTGCGTGTATGAGTATTAAACACAGAACTTTGTCGAAAGAAATTGTTAATGCATAAGATTTGCTTTATATAAGAACAAAATTTATTATGTATATTAAGTCCAACCTTGTTAGATGTAATATATGATATATTAAATTTTCTTGATATTATTTGTTTTATTTTTTTAAATTGTATATAAAGAAAGTTATTGAAAAAATAAAGAAACAAAAATTGTTTAAATAATTTCAACTCTAATTAAATAATAAAAGTAAATTTAAAGTTGTGATAAAATTTATTGAAGGTCATTTACCAAAATTTGATAGATTTCTTTTCCTAAGAAGAATCGAGTTTGAAATGTTTAACTCCTCGCCTAATAGTACATGCTCAAGTAAATTGCGAGTTTAAGAGACGTCTGTTACTGTAGCCGGCCAAAACATAACAGCATCGAGCAGTATCACGATCGATCTTTCGTTGATACCGAAATCTTCTTTCTGTAAACAGAGTCTACGCATTGGCAGCTAATAACGTGGCTGATAAATTGCGAACATCATCGTTTTCGACTACCGTGCGGTAAGGCTTCGAAAGGAGATCTATTGAAAATTTCACGGCGCTGGCAATAAATATTTGCTACAATCATCTGAACCGTACACTCATTGTAAAATACGTGTATTATTTAAAATTTTAATAATATCGCAGTTATATTATACATTTCGTATTATTTCATTTTTTAATAAAATGCTTTGCAAATTTATAAACACATATCACTTATTTTATTTATATTGTTTTAACTTTAAGATTGAACTTTATAGTTTGCTTGCAACTATTTGAAACTATGTTTCGCAGAGCTTAGTCTGCAAAATATAAGACGCTAACAATTAATATATGTAGAAAATAGATAGAATGTATATAATATTTGTATATAATAATTTGAAATTAGAAAGATATTCCAAAAAACATTGTTTATACTTAATTAAACTTTCATGTTATGATGTTATTTAATTATTGTGTGTAGTATTATACAATATATGCTTTATGTGATAAAATAATGTATATATAATAAAAAAGAGTAATAAAAATAAAAAAAATTTTTATTGTCTGTTATACATATGTTTCGACGGATTTAATTTTCTGTTAATTAATTTTCTGTTAATTAATTTACAGTTAATTCTTATAAAATTAAAGAATTTATATGAATATCTGATCAGAATATCATACAGACTTACATTTTCATTTAAAAACCGTGTAAAGTTGTATTTTTCGGTAAACTTTCCGATATAATCATTATTGAATTCGTTAGCATTTTTATCACAATTTTCTACACAAAATTCTACATTTATTTTTTACTTTATTGTGGTAATATTTCACTTGAAAATAAGTGCAAAAATCTACGTTACAATCATAATTGCACAACCAAGCTGTGAAAACGATACAATACATGTCAAATTAAGTTTAATGAGATTGCACCAAATAAACAATATTTATTAATTTTTATAAATAAAAACTCAACAATTTCAAGTAAGTAGAATAAAATTTTTTTACTTTATATATTATTTATGGGTAGTTAAATATTGTAATAGTTTGATGTTAAATAAATAACATTTTTATTATTTCAAATGTTTGGTATCAACATATCGATCAAATGTATTCTAGTGGATCGTACATCCGTAATAAATAGCCATTGGAGATAAAAATAATTTTATTGAAACATACGCCAAATAATCGCTTTTTAATTGCTTTTTTGATTCGTAATTGCTCCATTTAATTAATTTATATAATAACACTATTACACGAAAACTGTTACCATTATTTACTTAGCAGTCCTATTTACACATATTATCTTCAAGATCTGTTCTTCCAAAAAAATTGGTCCTCAAAATACAAAATTTAACATTTGGAATAAAAAAAGCAATTGAGGATCAATTTTTTTGGGCAAAAAGGTTTTAAAGATAATAAGTGAAAATAGGATTGCTAAGTAATTAGTGGCAACTGTTTTCGTGAATAATGTTATTAATATTAATTAATTAAGTGTAGCAATTGCAAATCAAAAGAGCAATCAAAACGCGATTTTTTGGTGTATGTTTTAATATAATTACTTTTATCCTCAACGGTAACGATGGACCAGAGTACGTTTGATTGATATTGACACTGAATATTTGACATAATAAAAATGTAATTTATTTAACATCAAGTTATTACAATATTTATTTACTCATAAATAGTAAAGTGATAAAATAAACTTTGGAAATTTTAATTCTACTTATTTGAAGTTGTTTCCCAATTGCCTTACATATCTAAAAAGCACATAAAGCATTATACAATTTGTTAAATATCTAAATATAAAAATGGAACACAATACTTATGTTGCATAATAAGAGTAATGAGTTTGATAATAATTACGATAATAGTTAAGTACAATTACGATATTTCCATATAAAATAATAATATTAAATTAAAGTACTATTTAATTAAACACTGATTATGTTTTATTCAAATTATTGTATGCTTTACTGTTATTAAATTATTATATGTAGTATTTAAAAAATGGCCAATATAATGAAAAATATAAGAAATAAGAAATTAAATAGTTCATTCTTTTATTTACATATATATTCCTACATATTTCATATACATATCCGTACATTTCATTCTATTACAGTCAATTATTGTAAAAATAAAACACTTTTACAAGTATTTTATAAAGACTTTACAAGGTCTTTTATTTAGTGCTTCAACTTAAACTCAATATCAAACTATTACCAAAACATATGAATATAAGGGAAAGCCTCCATAATGTTAGGCTTGAAAGAATTTTATATTCTTGAATGGATTTAAAATATTTTTCATTGTTAAAGTATATAAACTATTATTATTTGCATATTTTCATGCATTCTTCAAAATTTATAAAATTATTTTTATTTCCGCCGCAGCCCCCGTACTTGAAAGGAAAACATTCATTCGATAATGTCGAAAAAAAGAATCTCCATTGAAATGCTGCTTTCATTGACGTCTCATCCGTAAGGCAAGGACCAGAGTCATGAGGCATACTACAATCTGTAAAAAAGATATACATTGTGCAAAAACATAAATCATAACGCATGCATTATTAAACTATAAAAAATACATATCAGTTTATGTACAATAAAATAGCTATTCTATCAATCTATCATTGATAACAATAATCATCATCTATCAATCTATTATTTGTAAAATAAAACTGACAACTTCAAATTTTTGCAGTTTATGACAATTTATGATAATCTAATATATGTATTAATTAATTTTTAACAATTTGAGTTTTTTAAATAATATAAAAACTATAATAATAGCAAGTATAATGAAAGATTACTGTGCGTGTTCAACGTAAAAGAAATAGATCGCTTACATGCTGGTCGCTCATCAGGAAGCAAAGGTGATTTTGAACCAGATGGGTATCCTAAGCTGAACACATTGAAGACAACAAGTATGAATAACAAGTTCAGTTTGAAAGTCATCGTCTCGTGTGTTCTTTTGATTGAATTTTTAGCAGTTACGTTCAATAAATTACCTCCTTCTCTGAAAATTTTATTATGAATAATTACTATACGTACTAATCTAAAATTATAAATTATAAATTAACTTAGAAATTATAAATTAATTTTGATAACATCAAATATAAAAAAAAGATTAATGTTCGAAAGTGAATCATAAAATTTAATTTAATTTGTGTATATGAATTTATATTATTTTTGTTTTAATAAATAACATAATTTATCAGTTACTTGCAATAAGTTTAAATTGTAAAATTAGCATTTTTTATTATTTATCACATACATACATATAGCAAAGAAGAAATATAGCTATATAGAGGAAATGGGAATTATAATGTAAAATATTAATGATTTATCCTTCGATACTACGTTTACTGCGATACTCGTTTACTATCCAAAAAGATGCCGAAAATTTGTATCTATTAATCTTATTTGCTCGAATAAAATTTGCATGTTTTTCATTATTTGATCTCTTACGATTAAAACATGAACTAATCATAGTGTGAACAATTTTCGTGGTATAGTTTCGTGTATAAGTATATTAAATTCTCTTGATATTCTGTTTTACTTTTCACAAAGATGCAAATAACAAAGAAAGTTAAAGGACATATAACAAAACAATAATAGTTTAAATAATTTCAATTCTAATTAAATGGTAAATGTAAATTTAATGTTATAATAAAGTTGATTATAGGTCACTTACCAGATTCTGATTTCTTTTTCTCAGAAGAATCGAGTTCGATATGATTAAATTTCTCGCCTAATAGCACATGCCTAAGTAAATTGCGAGTTCAAAAGACGTCTGTTACTGTGGACAGTCAAAAATCAACAGCATGGAAGATCGCGATCAATCCTTCGTTGATTTCGAAATCCCCCCCCCCTTCTGTAAACAGAGTTTGCGCATTGTCTGCTAATAACATGCTAATAAATTGCGAACATCATCGTTGTCGACAACCATGCGGTAACTCTTCGAAAGGACGCCTATTGAAAATTTCACGACGCTGGGAATAAATATTGTTTAATTTTAATTAAACTTCCATGTTATGATGTTATTTAATTATTGTATGTAGTATTTTACAATATATGCTTTATGTGGCATAATAATCTATATAAAATAAAAAAAGTTTAGTGACTGTTATACATATGTTTCGACGAATTTAATTTTGATTCTGTTAATTCGTATAAAATTAAAGAATTTATATGATATCTGATCAGAATTTCATACAGTCTTACATTTTTATTTAAAAACCGCGTAAAGTTGTATTTTTCGGTAAACTTTCCGGTATAAGCATTATTGAATTCTTTAGCATTCCTATCACAATTTCCTACACAAAATTCTACATTTGTTTTTTACTTTATTGAAGTAATATTTCATTTAAAAATAAGTGCAAAAAACTACGTTATTATCACAATCGCACAACCAAGTTTAAAAACAATACAATACACGTCAAATTAAGTATAATGAAATCGTTCCAAATAAACAATATTTATTAATTTTTATAAATAAAAATTCAACATTTTTAGGTAAGTAGAATTAAAATTTTTTTACTTTATTTATTATTTATGAATCCATAAATATTGTAATAGTTTGATGTTTAATAAATCATATTTTTATGATGTCTAATGTTCAGTGTCAATATATTGATCAAATGTACTCAATCGTACATCAGTAATAAATGGCCGTTAGGCAAATAAAATAAAAATAATTATATTGAAATATACGCCAATAAATCGCTTTTTAATTGCTCCTATGATCCGTAATTGCTCCACTTAATTAATTAATATTAATAACACTATTACACGAAAACTGTTATCACTGTTTACTTAGCAGTCCTATTTACGCTTATTATTTTTAAAATCTGTTCTTTTAGAAGAATTGGCCTTCAAAATTAAAAATTTAACGTTGAGAATAAAAGTAGCAATTAAAAAGCAATTTTTTGGCGTATATTTCAATATAATTACTTTTATCCCCAACGGCAACTTATCACTCACGTCCGATTGACGAGAGTACATTTTATCGATATATTGATACTAAACATTTGACATCATAAAAATGTGATTTATTTAACATCAAGCTATTACAATATTTATGTACTCATAAATAATAAATAAAGTTAGAAAATTTCAATTTTTTTTATTTGAAATTGTTTCCTAATTGCCTTACATATTTAAAAAGCATATAAAACTTTACGCAATTTGGTAATATCTAAATATAAAAAAGGGACACAATACTTTTGTTGCCTGTGTGTAATAAGTTTGATAATAATTAAGTACAATTACGATAATTCCATATATGATGATATTTTTTAAACTAAAATAATATTACATTTAATACTGATTAAGTTTCATACAAATTATTATATGCTTTAATGTTATTAAATTTTTATATGTATTATTAAAAAAATGCCCAATATAATGAAAAATATAAGAAATAATAAATTAAGGAGTACTTTTCTTTATTTACATATATATTTTTACATATTTCATATACATATCTGTACATTTCATTTTATTAGTCTTTTATTGTAAAAATAAAACATTTTTGCAAGTATTTTATAAAGACTTCTCAGTCTGTCATTTTGTACTTCTACTTAAACTCAATATCAAACCATAACAAATTCACATCAATATATGAGAAACCCTCAAAAATTTTCTGATCTACGGCCAGTATTTTCCTTTACGGGGTACAAACTTAGTGTAGTATTTATCAAGTTTATAATCTATTAAATGTGTATGATTCTTAAGAAATCCAATGTAATCTTCGCTGCATGTAGTCATGCATTCTTCATAAGTTTCAAAATTATTTGGATTTCCTCCGCAATCTTTTATATACTCAAAAAGTTCACAAACCTTCGTTCTTACATTATACCAATATCTCCTTTCAAATTTGTGGCTTATGTACCGCACCTTCGAATAGCAAGGACCAGGGTCATACTTAAGACCACACTCTGTAAAAAAAGATATACATTGTGCAAGAACCTAAATAATAACGCATAGAGTAAACAAAAAAAAAAATATATAATACATAACAATTTATGTACAGTAAAATATCTATTCTAATATTGCGGTAAAATAAAACTGGCAACTTTATATTTTTACAATTTATAACAATTTATGGTAACGAAATGTATGCATTAAATAATTATTAATAATTTGAGTTCTTTAAATTATATGAAAAGTATTATAATAACAAATATAATAAAAAATTACTGTGCGTGTTCAAAGTGAGAGAAATGAAACACTTACTTTTAATACCCAATGCTTTTGCATTTATCTCAAGAAACGTTGGAGGAGGAGGCTCCTTTTTTGCAGGACATAGGTATCCTACGCTAAACATGCTGAAGATGACAAGTATAAATAACAAACTTATTTTGAAAACCATTTTCTCGTGTGTGGTTTTGATTGAATTTCTAGCAGTTACGATCAATATAATCCTCCTCTGAAAATTTTATTATGAATAATGACTATACGTACTGATCTGAAATTACATAAATTTAATTGTGATAACATCATATATAAAAATAAAGATTAATAAAATCATAAAACGATAGGAACAAAATGAGCCAGTTCGCTAGATATCAACGCGAACAAACTTGTATTATGTTATAAAAACCATTAATATATACAAACGTTTCAACCTGTCATTAAGCTATCGTCAGTGTCAATAAATAAATTAGATATGAAAACGCACACTGATCATTTACAATAAGATATGGTTTCAAACCAAATATGATTTATACAAAATTTGTTGCAGGATTAATGAAAAATGTTATTAAAAGTGATATAATCCATAATAATCGATAAAATATGATTTGTCAAATAAGAAATAAAAGAGAACAAAAAGATAAGTTACTGGTTTAATAGTCAGATTGTTAATGAAAGATTAATGTTCAAAATTGTAAATCAAAATTTTTAATCTGATTTATGTACACGAATTTATATTGTTTCTTTTAGATAACAAAATTAATCTGTTCTTTATCATTTTAAATCGTAAAATCAGCACTGTTTATTATTTATTACATGCATGCATATAGCAAAAAAAAATATAGCTCTATAGAGAAAATGAAAATATGAATAACATTGTAAAAAATTAATGATTATTCCTTCAATATGTTCACTATGCAAAAAGATGACGCAAAATTGGTTCTATTTATTAATCTTATTTGCTCGAATGGAATTCGCACGTTCCGTACTATTTGATCTTGTTACGATTAAAATATCAGCCAAACGTAGTGTGAACAAATTTTGCGATTTAGTTACGATGCATGTATGAGTATTAAACACAGCACTTTGACAAAAGAAATCGTTAATGCATAAGATTTGTATAAAAGAGCAAAATTTAAATTATCCATACTAAATCCAACTTTGCTGAAAATAATACACGTTAAAATAAATTCTCTCGACATCATCTGTTTTCACAAAAAATGCATACAAAGAAAGTTATTGAAAAAATGGCGAAATAAGAATCGTTCAAATAATTTTAACTCTAATTAAATAATAAAAGTAAATTTAAAGTTATGATAAAATTTATTGAAGGTCACTTACCAAGATTTCTTTTCTTAAGAAGAATAGAGTTCGCTAAATTCCTCGCCTAATTCTACATGCCTATGTAAATTACGAGTTCAGGAGACGTCTGTACTGTAACCGGCCAAAAGACAACAGCATGAAGATTGCGATCGATTCTTCGTCAATTCCGAAATCCCCTTTCTATACACAGAGTCTGCGCATTGTCTACTCATAACGTGGCTAATAAATTGCGAACATTATCGTTGTAGTATACTATGCGGTAAAGCTTCGAAAAGACGGCTATTGAAAATATCACGGCGTTCGCAATAAATATTTCCCACGATTATAATCTAAACATCGTACACTCATCGTAAAGTACGTGTATATTATTTAAAATTTCAATAATATTGCAGTAACATTATACATTTCGTATTATTTTACTTTTGAATAAAATGTTTTGCAAATCCCAAAAGAAATATCACTTATTTTCCTTATATTGTTTTATCTTTAAGATTGAACTTTACAGTGCTTCCAACCAATTGGGACTATATTCTGCAGAACTTTTGCACTTAATTTTGTCTATAAATTATGGAATGCTCAGTTTATGTAGAAAATAGATAGAAAGGATATAATATTTTAAAATTACATAGGCATCCTAGGAAACATTGATTATTCTTAATTAAAATTACATTTTCTAATGTTAATAAATTATTGTACATACTATTATATATTTAATATGTGGTAAAATGCACAATATAAAATAAATGATATAAAAAAAATAAACCTAACCCGCGTGAAGGTATATTTTTCAGCAGATGGCAAACTCGCCGATATAAGCGTTATTGAATTTGCATTCCCATCACAATCTTCCACACAACATTCTACATTCATATCTTACTTTGTCGTAATAAAATTTTGCTTGAAAATGAGTGCAAGAGCCTACATATAATATAATCATAATCGTACCACCAAGCTGTAAAAACGATACAATACATCAAATAAAGTATAATAAAATTGCATAAAATAAACAACATTTATTAATTTTTATAAATAAAAACTCAAAAAGTTAAAAATTTAATAATGGAATCAAAAGAAGCAATTAAGGAGCAATTTAAAAAAAAAATTTTAAAGAAAACAAGGGAGTGTAAATAGAGTTGCTAAGTAAAGTGGTAATTGTTTTCATGTAATAACGTTATTAATATTAATTAATTAAGAGGAGCAGTTATGGATATCAAAGGAGTAATTAAAGAGCGATTTTAGGTGCATGCTTCAATATAATTACTTTCATTCCCAACGCCAAATTATTACTTAATGTACGATTGACCAGAGTACATTTGATCGATATATTGACCCTGAACATCATAAAAATGTAATTTATTTAACATCAAGTTATTATAATATTTATCTCATAAATAATAAATAAAGATATAAAATTTTAATTCTACTTAAATTGTTTCCTAACTGCCTTACATATTTAAAAAGCACATAAAATTTTATACAATTTGTTAAATATCTAACAATAAATATAAAAAAAGAACACAACATTTCCATTAAGAGTGTGTAAAAATTTTGATAATAATTTAGTACAACTACGATAATTTCATATAAGATCGTATTTTTTAAATCAAAGAAATATTTCAATAAACACTGATTATGTTTTATTCAAATTATTATATGTTTTTATGTTATTAAATTATTATATGTTTTTATGTTATTAAATTATTATATGTAGTATTAAATGCCACATACAATAAAAAATATAAGAAAGAATAAATTAAGAAGTAATTTCCGTTATTTACATATATATTTCTACATATTTCATATACATATCCGTACAATCCATTTTTTCACAGTCATTTATTGTAAAAACTAAAGACTTTTACAAGTATTTTATAAAGACTTCGCAGAGTCTTTCCTTTATTACTTCAATTTAAACTCAATATCAAACTATGACATATACATATCAATACATGGGAAACCTTCAAAAATGTTATGTTTCAAAGAATTTTTTTTTCCTCAATAGATTTAAAATATTTGCCATTGTTACGGTGTCGAAAGTATATTGGATTGCATGTTGATATGCAGTCTGCATAAGTTTCGAAATTATTTCCATTTCCTCCGCAGTCGTCGGACGGGTAATGGTATTGACAATCTTTCAATTCGTTCGAATAATAATATTTCTTGTAAACTACGGTATTTGGTCTGCAAATGGTCGCAATGCAAGGACCTCTCTCATACGTGAGGTTACACACTGTAAAAAAGATATACATTGTGCAAGAACTTAAATCATAACAAATGCAGTAAACTATAAAAAAATGCAGATCAATTTATGTACAATAAAATATCTATTCTATCAATCTATCATTGCGATAAAATTAAACTAACAATTTCAAATTTTTACGATTTTTGGCAATTTGATAATTAAATATAAGCATTAAATAATTATTAATAATTTGAATTATCTAAATAATATTAAAAGTATTATAGTCGAATAAATATAATGAAAGATTACTGTGCGTGTTCAATGTGAGAGAAATGGAACACTTACCTGCAGATGACGGAATTGATTTTGAACAACATAGGTATCCCATGTTAAACATGTTAAAGACAACAAGTATGAATAACAAGTTTATTTTGAAACCCATTATCTCGTATGTGGTTTTGATTGAATTTCTAGCAATTATGATCAATATAATGTCTCCTTCTCTGAAAATTTTATTATTAATAATAACTATACGTATTGATCTGAAATTATACAAATTAATTTTGGTGACATTGCATATAAAAAAAAGATTAATGTTTGAACAAGTAAATTATAAAATCTAATCTAATTTATGTGCATGAATTTATATTATTTGTTTTAATAGATAGCATAATTAAACTATTATTTACAATATGTTTAAATTGTAAAATTAACATCTTTTATTATTTATCACATGCATGCATATAGCAAAGAAAAGAATACAGCTCTGTAGAGGAAATGTAACTAACATTGTAAAATATTAACGATTATTTCTTCGATACGTTAAATATGCAAAGAGGTGTCGCAAAATTGGTTGTGTTTATTAGCCTAATTCGTTGGAATGGAATACGCATGTTTCGCATTATTTGATCTCGTTATGATTAATACATAAACTAATCATAGTGTTTGATGAAAGGTTGATATTGATTAAGAGATACGAACACACTTACTGAGCGTTAAACAAAAAGAGAAAAAGGTTACAAAAAGGAGGGAAAAACAAAGCTATCTATTAAGCAATATATTACGAAAGAAAACATGAATTTTCAACACATAGTGTGAATAATTTTTGCGTTATAATTACGATGCGTGTATGAGTATTAAACACAGCACTTTGACGAAAAAATTCGTTAATGCATAAGATTTGCATAAAAGAACAAAATTAAAATTATTTGTACGAAATCCAATCTTGCTGGATGTAATGCACGTTAAAATAAATTCTCTCGATATCATTTGTTTTACTTTTCACAAAAACGCATACAAAGAAAGTTAGTGAAAAATGGCAAAATAAGAATCGTTTAAATAATTTCAACTCTAATTAAATAATAAAAGTTTTAAATTTAAAGTTGTAATAAAATTGATTGAAGGTCACTTACCAAGCTCTGATAGATTTCTTTTCCTAAGACGAATTGAGTTTGATGTGGTTAAATTCCTCGCCTAATAGTACATGCCTAAGTAAATTGCGAGTTCAAGAGACGTCTGTTACTGTGATCGACAAAAGACAACAGCATGAAGATCGCGATCGATTCTTCGTCGATTCCCCTTTTTCTAACAGAGTATGCAGAGTCTGCGCATTGTCTGCTAATAATGTGATTGTCAAATTACGAACATCATCCTTATAGTATACTATAGTATAATAGCAAATTTCCATCATTTATTATTGTAATTTTTTAGTTTTTTTCTTATTATTAAACATTAAATATATTTTTTTTTCTTTTTTAGATAATAATTATGAATAACGTAATAGATGCTAATACAACTGTATCTAAAAATGTATTAACTGTGATACAAAAATTTTTTCACAAGGATCTGGCTATGAAGTATACTTGTGTAAAAAAAATTGGAAATAAAAAAACATTAAAACCATCACTATTTTATGATTGTATTAAGGGTAAAATTTTATTACTAAATATCACAATTAATCTTTTTATGTTTATTTATTACCGATTATCAATTTTAGATCTTATTAACTGAAGGTTTTTTAGTTGCAATTTAGATATTTCATCATTTAAATCATCGCAGTCTGTTGTGTATACATATTCATTATGTTTTACATTTTTTTTTTCTTAACGCTTCAGTGTAACTGTCTGTTAAAATAATTAAAATAATTATTATATCTGATGAAATCAACAAATATAATATAAAAATTGTTCAAATAAAATTCATACCTGCTTCGTCAATTAAAGTAATGCCATAAGTAGGCCAGCTCTCTTCCGGATATCTTGCAGCTTCAACTAATTTGTGAAAATCTTTACAAGCCTTTTTAATATAAGACAGCATAAATTTTGTGACAAGCTGAAGACTTTGAGAATTTAACGATATCCAAATTAATGGCACACAGTCAATAGCATTATCGATGTACAATCGATTAAATTGTACAATCTGACATGACTTTTTTCTTTTTAAAGTCATCATCTAAAACAAGGTTTCAAATATTGATTGTTTATTAATTAGAATAACATGTAATGAGAATTAATAATAAAACTCTATATATATATATATACTGAAAAATAAATATATATACTGAACATTGGACACAACATACCTTCAATTATTGTTGCGCTTTTAATCACAGTACTTATTAATAAATAATTATTAATTATTTTTATCAATGTGCACAATAAACACTTGTTACTATTCACACTACAGTCGCATGATATACGTTTACATTTTAAGAGAAACAGGAGGTGTCCCAAGCTTATTGAAACAATAGAAAGTATAGCACGTCATTTGTTACCTTGCTGGTAAAAGAAATTTTCATATAACGAATTTATCGAATATCAATTCAAACTTGGCTTGGTAAACAACGTGCACGAATCGTAACGCAAAGATCGAATACAGATGTACCACGGATTTTTTCAACGATTAAAAAGATAAAGGAATAAAATAATATATATTGATTGATGTAGACTAATGAAAAAAAATGATTTACAGCAAGGAAAAATACCATATGAAGTAGAATTAAAAGAACCATGTTAGTTAAATGCGATAAATTCATCTATAAAAATGCAAGAATTCGAGCAGACCAATTTTTTTTCTTTTTACCTTCTCTTTAAATAATTTTTACTAGCCAGCCACGAGCTTACTTCAGTTATCTAGCTGTGAGATAATATTAGCTAGTACATATATGTACTTTTTATATCATGATTTGGATATAACAGCATTATATTATTAACTAGGTAATATCTATAAGTTCTGCATAGAAACACTTTCTTGTAACTACCCACACAGAACATAATATCCAATAGACGTCCATATAATCTCCATAACTCCATACTATATCTATCTCTTCGATGGATATTGGATAGGTTTCTATTAGAAATCCATATTATTTCCATGATAAATGACGATATAAATCCATCATAAATGTCTATTAGACATCTGTTATCGATGTTTGATAGAAATATCAGTATCCATATCAACGAATATTGTTAGGGCATCGTCGATGTCAAACGTTTCGGCTGATCATTCAGCCATCTTCAGTGCTAACGTTACAAATCTGTTTAGTAGAAAGATTGTGGTTTCATCATTAATTTTCGTCATTAATAAAATTATTTGGAAGTAAAGTCACAAATGTGATTGCGAGATAGTCTTGTTTATGTAGGTGTTAACAGATTGTCACCATGTTCTCGACTGTCTTACAGTTCTCGACTGTCTCACAGTCGTGACATTCTGTTAACACCT